ATGGCAAAGCTAGGGAAAATATTTGTCCATTGGCATCTACTGCAACGACGATCAACAGCTTAATATCATACTTTCCATAGACATAAGTACCGTCTATGGATATTACCGGACGGCAATGCACAAAACCATCAATTGCTGGTTTAAATGCCCAAAACACGTATTTGAATATATATTTCGGTATTCCCGAACTCCGCTCAAGTTTCCATTCAACAACGGTCCCGGGATTAAAGTGTTGCAATGCGGTCATGTAACTGAGTAGAGCTGCAAATGGCTTATCCCAGTTACCATAAACAATTTCAAACGCACATTTGCGCCCAAGAAATGCCTTTCTTTTGGTAATGGTACGATCATATTCCTGGTGGACGGATGTAATGAACTCTTTGATCTTGTACCTTGTGGACGCTTCAATGTATGGAATCAGGAAAAGAGAAATCAAGTCAACTTCCAAGTTGAAGTGCTTCCCATTGAATGTGTCCATTTCACAAGTGTGGGTGCCAATATATTTACCCACTTTCCACATATCTGTTTTCTTCTTGCTCGCACGCAACATCCAATGACAACCCGTAAAAACCATCTACAGCAAACAACCTTGTATACATCCGGACTAGACTCCCATACCGTCACTCACGACACTCTTTTACGCTGTACATTTTCGCCGCCCTACTTAGGCGCGATTTATCAGGAAAAAGCATGCCCTTTGCCAGCAGTGTTGGTCTAAACTCATCCCACATTGCTGTCCGAATTTCGTCAAAATCCCTTGTGAGGGCATACACATCCGGCATACTTGGCAAATGATCAAGGTAGGGAATATGCCTTGAATGAAACGGCACATGGGACTCGTACACTCTTGGTCTAACGCGGGGTGGAGCATGCTCCCTTGTCAAATCAGGTCCATCATTCTCTTCCTCCTCATCACTACCCTCATCAGAGAAGGGTGTGTCATCTCCGGACTCATCGGCATTGTTGTCATAATCACTGTTCTCTTTCTGACTCTGCGCATCTGCCAGATCCCGAGTAAATACGTCATCTTCGGGCAATTGAGTCAGGACAGGTGGTTCAACTTGCTCGTTTTCACTGCACAAACAACAAAATAATAAGCTACTCAAATTGATAAATACTTTACATATAACTATATCACTTCACTTACAAGTCGTAATGTGTTAACATTCCATGATGGACATTATCCTGTTGGTGATGACTCCCGGATGGACCACCATGATCCAACACACCAAGCATATTCCAACTGGGCGTGGGTTCATAACTTGTAAAATTCATATCTGAACGGTACCCCTGTAGAATATATGAGTGTTAATACAAAATCAATACAACAAAAATAAACATGGTAACACAAAGGAAATTTGAAGTTTACCACTCGTCTTGTGGATTATGTAAAGTAGGAGAGAAATTATTTCCTCCCCCTCATTTTCCCGTGGAGATAAGTTTAGATCCGGCCAAACTCTTTCAGCCGGAACCTGTTCGGCTAAAACTGCTCCAGAATAACCACCCGATGATTGAGGGTTATCCCTGCTTTGCGCAACCTCATTATTGCGAACGTCTTCAACCTTCACGTACATTTCCAACATTTTTATCAAAATAAATTCCTGGTATTCATCCGGAGTCCACAAAAAATCTTTCAGAGTTTCATCATCCTCGATGTTAAACTCAGCGTAACAAGCAACCCCCTGCGGAGTCACAGAATACGAATATCTTCCGGTTACTTTAAGGTTCACCGAACGTTTGCTCACACTCATTTTATTACATAACAAGGATACCGGTCTATCGTACTCCATTGTAAGTGACAACTTAACATGACTCTGTGGAGATAACTATAGCTCACTGAGTTATTCGCCACCACAACCTCACTCCCCCCCCCTCCCCCCCCCTCCCCAAATATAATGAAACCCTTACTTTTCGCTCTTCAGACATTATGACAAAATGCTTGAGAATTTAACAAGAAGAAAAATTTAACAGGAGTTGAGAATATTTTTGAATGATTTTTTGCAAAATCCTTAACGCCTTTAAATAAGGCAATGCCCAATCCGGGGGGAAGGGGGGGGAGGGTCGAATTTTTTGAGGTAAAACGCTCTTTTAAAATGCGTTTTATCTATTTGAATTATTGTTATGTCAGTTAATCGCAAAAGAGTTATTGGTGGACCCACAAATAAGTATAGCGTATTTCGAAAACGCGTTTTATATAAAATGCCTTTTTAAAACGCGCTTTACCTTAGCGTCCGAAACGGATATTAAAGTAGAACGCTCTTTAAAACCGCGTTTTATATAGTTTGGTCACTTAATTTTTTTTCTATTTATTTTGATCTTTTGAATCCAAAAAGATCACATTTAGATTTTGGACTCGAGGATGGTAGATGAATATACAATTATAAAAGTTGAATTAAACGTCTGCTCTTTGTGGAGGAGAAAGAATACTCCATAAAGCATCATCCTGTTGAAAAATGGGTAGTATTTCAGAAGGTTCATTCCTTAGAAAAAAATTTCTTCTCTAATTTATATTTAAAAAAAGTCACATTTTTAATTTTTAGTGAGCTAGTAATATTTGTGTTAGGGTAGGTTGTCTACATCACAACCATTAGGGTGCGGTACTTCTCTGGATCCTACGTGAATGCTGGATACTTTGTGTATCTGACTATATTCTTTTGGCGAAATACATAAACGGCCCTTTCAAGTTGTCCTCAACGGTCATCCAGACACCTCAACTGACCCTTTTATCATTTAAACACTTCAAGTGGCTATTAACTGTACCAAATAGACACCCGAGTGCAGCAGACCAGATGCGTGAGTTACACTTACCAATGACGTGTCAAACGAACTAATTAAACAATGACACGTGTAATTTATAATTAAAAAAATTGATATTTGTTATTAACAAAGAAATACATTAAAGAAAGAAAAAAAAACCCCTTTTTAAATTTTTAGCACACCAGCACCTTTCCCAACGCCCAACCCTATTCTTCTTCTTCTTCCTTCCGCCCCATCTCCCTCTCACCTCCTATCTCTCTCTCGTCCCTGATTTAGTAGAGCCAACGCCATTGTAGGACAGAAAATACTCCAATAATTAACGATTTATATGTAATAGAGCAACAGCCACAAAGAAAAGAAAATGGGACTTCACAAATTCCTTATTCTCCCAACCACTCTTCTAATTTCGCCTCTTTATCAGCTTTAAATTCTTCAAAGTTTTCAGATAAGACAGCAGTTGATCTGACAATCTGAAGTCTTCACTATTGGCCCGTCCAAGTGAGGAAGAAGAGCTCGCATCTGCAGCTAATTGCTTGTCATTTGAATGCATTACAGATGGCTCATCCTTGTCCGACAAAGATGGTTCGCTCTTTGCTGGTCGAGATTCTCCAGACTCTAACTGAGGCCACTTGAAGTTACCAGCCTTTTGTTTTGCTGACCTGAAAACAGCTGAAAGATAACTGGCAACCTTCTCGATGCGAGCTTCTGTTTTTTTTGTTTTTTTTTTTTTTTATAGTTTTTGCATCCAGGTTGAATATAGGTGGTGAATTTACTGTGGAAGGTGGTGGTTTAAGGTGGTGGAGATAATGATGTTGGGGTGAGGAAGGTTCATATGAAATTTGGGTGAAAAAACACTGGTTTGATCGTTCAAAGGTGTGGGCAAAAATGATAATGTGGTGTGGGACCCAGACATAAAATTTAACTTAATTCTAAAAATAAGAGAAAACAAGTCTGATAAAAGCCTCACGTGCTCAACTGTAACTAAAATGCACGTAACTTGCCATGTCACTATGAGGTGTCTATTTGGTACAGTTTATAGCCACTTGAAGTGTTTAAATGATAAAAGGGTCAGTTGAGGTGTCTGGCTGACCGTTGAGGACAACTTGAAGGGGCCGTTTATGTATTTCGCCTATTTTTTTTTAAATTTTTAGCGAGGAACAGGTAAAGGTTTAAATTCACTAGCAGAAGATTTAGACCGAAAGGCAAAATGGTTGATTACTTGATTTGCACCCCTTGCCATCTGCTTTTTCTTAAATTTCTTCAAAATAGCTGTTACAAAGTGTCTATAAATACCGCTGTTTTGCTTAGTTTCCTAAACACACTAAAAACAATACATTCTCTTCTACTTCTAACTCATTGCTCGGCTGGTTTTATATGCTTTAGTTCTACAGTTCCTACTCCTAATTCATAATTAAAAAGCTTCTTGAATTCTGGAAGATATGTCACTTAATTTGTATACGACGGACACAGATCTTGTACTTTGCTTTATTTCCTCAATAAGGAATATCTTCGACAAGATCCCTCAATTTGTTATTGGGAACTTAACCTGTAATAATTTGTTCAAAACATAAACATAGTTTGATATCTAGGTTCTGTGAGATATGTTTTTCTCCTTGACAATTTCTCCATATCACTCTGCATTTATTTTTATACATAAAAAAACTTACCAACTCAATTTTTATTCATTGCTAACATATATGGAACACAAGATACAGCTCAAAAATCCACAAATGTAGAAATAAACTAATGTCAAGCTGGAATTGACTCCGATGAAATGCAGGTCTAAAGGGTAGCCCGGTGTACTAGCTATGCGCGGTGTCCTGGGAAGGACCGGACCACAAGGGTCTATTGTACGCAACCTTACCCTGCATTTCTGCAAGAGGTTGTTTCCACGACTCAAACCCGTAACCTCCTAGTCACATGACAATCAACTTTACCATCTACGCCAAGGCTCTCCTTCGATGAAATGCAGGTCTAAATAGAAAAATGTTTCAAATGTTTTGAGGTCTTGAGCCGAGGTTCTTTTGGAAACAACCTCTCTACTCCCTCGGGGTAGGGGTAAGGTCTGCGTATACACTACCCTACCTAGACCCCACTAGTGGGATATTGTTATTGTTGTCGTTGTTGTTGTTTCAGATGTTTCGAGGATAACATTAAGGCATACAAGACATAGAAGCAGAATGATCTTTCCACTTTTTGGACAAACATCCAGTGGTATTAACACTCTAAAAGAGCTCTACATGTTAAGTAACAGAAGAGGGCATCAATTTCCAGAATTTACTATATGCAAAACAGCCCTAACAATCTCAAGAAAGGAAGTATAAGTTTCAATAATGTTAAACAGATGAATGAATTCTATGTTCTTTGCCTATACTTGAAACCAAAAAGTTCTACAAAGTATCATTGCCTTTGTGATTGAAACTCTGTTGCTTTTATCGCTAATGCACTTCTTATAGCACATGCAACACTATCACCAACACCAGGTTTCAAAGAGCTCTGATTATGCAATGAATCATCACTCAAATCCTCACAAAATGCTGAAAAATCATCCCTTGATAATAACATATTATGAAGTATTGAACAAGCACCAATAGAAGCCACTGCAGCTTTAACTTCTCCCTCAATTGGTTCATCCAAAACACCCCAATTTCTCAAGCTCTGAATAGCCTTAAATCCTCGCGAGCGAATTAAATTAATTGAATTGTTGAAATTCTCTTCATTTGATTGAGAAATTGGATCATCAAATGGTAGCATTAACCAAGGTAACAAAGGGTAATTTCCATCACCAATGAAAAATTGAGGTACAACTACACCATTTATATGCAAAGCTTGTGAATTCAAGATTGTTCCTTTTTCAATATCTTGGAATAAAGTTGATGACTTTAGGACTTGTAAATCATTCTTATCTCCACGAAAACCTGCTATAATACTAAGAATTCTTGACGATGAATCGACCACTAATTGAGCTGCTGTGTTTTCATTATTAATCTTGAATCTTACACAACAGAGGATTCCACAGCAATTGGGCAGGCCCGAAATGGATTCAAACTGAGTCGAAACGGATTCAAGCTCACCCGAATTCGGAAACCCGACCCAGAAACGGTAATTAGTGCAAAGTACCCTACACAATTGCTTGGCACAAAACTTTGCAACAGATTCAGACACGCTGAATTGGCGTGAAATATCGGAATAATTGGCTCCGGTAGCCAATCGAAAAAGCCCGATTCCAAGGCGAGTTTCAGCAGGGAGATTAAGGGGCGAGTCAACCGGGTCACGGCACTCGAGTAGAGGTTCTAAGAGGCCACAAAGCCAATCAAAAGTTGAGGAGTTCATATTGAAGAATTTCTTGAAAGTGTCCGGGTTACGTCGGATGGACGAGTCGGGTCGTCCGAGTTGACCGAGTTTCCGGGTCGGACCATCGCCGGCCGGGGCATCGGGTTTTGACAAGTGGGTCCGTTTTCGTTTTTTGGAAAAAGGGAGGAGGGAAATTGTAGCGGCGATTTCAGAGGTAGAAAGAAAATGAAGGAGAAGAGGGGAAAGGAAATCGTAGACAGAGGAATTGGTAATGGAAAGTGGATTTGAAGAAGGGAAAATGAGGAGAAGGAGAAGGACGAGTTGAGATATTAGAGAAGAAAGTAGAGCAGCCAAATGCCGAGTATTCATGTTTTTGTTGGTGTCAGTGTACTTTTTTTTGTCGTCAAATGAGGTTTTCTTGATTTCAGAGCGAATCAAAGGTTTTGCTCTGACAAATCTGGTGAATCTCAATGGTTGACAAAGTACTAAAAAGAGCTCAGCTTTGCTTTGCTTTGCAAATTTTCACAAAGGCACGTGACTATTTACAGTCAAAACTGATTTTCTCTTTTTTGGAAAATCATTCAAGATTTATCCCAAATATCTAAAGTTTCTTATAAGAGCCAATTTAGTGGATAAATACTGGTATTTGGACTTTGATAGTTTCAGAAACAAAAAAGAAAAAAAAAGGAAATTTTCAGAAAACTAGCATCATTGTTCTCCAAAATATTTTTATCAAAACCTAATCCTAAAAAAAATAATACTTAAACAGGACCAAATTTAAACGCCTAACTTTTGCAAATCGGACACAAAGGAACTTAAGGAGGAAAATATCTTCCTTTTGGACTCATTATCTTCTTTTTCCCGAAACGAGGATGCCTATTGATTTTCTTCCATTTTTTTCTAGGGAATGCATTTAAATTTATCCTTGAACTATTGACTCTTATACTTTGTCAAATTTATTAGTTGTTTGGATCAAAAGATATCACAACCTTTTTGAACAAATCAATCAATGAAAATGAAAGGGTAAATCTTAGCAAAGAATAATAATCACTTAGAACGAAAGAAGATAGACAATGAACACATAAAAATTGTTTAATCTCATGAAGATCCGTGATTGGATGTTAGAAAGTGTTTATCGGAAAGTATTACAATTGTTGCTATATCTTAGAGATATTACCGAGAGAGAGAAAAGAAAAGGCAGACCCCCCTTACAAAGTTATTCCCCCCATTATATAGAAGGGACAAACCCCTTCTAGGTCCTACAAAACATATTCCTGGGCCCCCTTCAAGGAACCTCCTTAGCACCTCGTATCGGAGTCATGTTAAGCTGTGAGGACCTCGTTGTTGTCGTGCTCGTCTGTGGTCGTGGTTATCCAATTTCGGACCTATACAGTTAGTCCCTCCGCTTGTAGAGGTCGCAATTCGACGCGTCCTCGATAAGTGGACACCGTTTGCCCTTCGCGGAGAAATTTGGTTTCATGAAGTACCATATCCTGGTCAACTGCAGGGGGTCAACGTGCTCAGCAAGGTATTGTCGCTGTGTCTCATCATGAAATGACGTCATCTGCCTTTTCGTCATCATTACGCGCGTTTTTGAGACTGGGGCTGACGACATGTCGCTTCGGTTTTGGTACCAATTGGCAGCCTTTCGCCTCGATTCCGGTGCCACTCTGCTGCTTTTCGCTTCGATTCCGCTACTACCCAATCCTATAAATAGGTGGAGGATTTGTTATTTCAAAAACTCTTGGCCATTTCACCTCCGGTTACTCTTTCTCGTCTTTCCGGCATTCGTTCTCGCAGTTTTTCTGCTATTTCTTTCTTCATTCTTCACTTACACTTCCTCTGCTACTCTAACATCTTTCCTGCCACAACAATGCCTAGAACATATCTATCCCACGAAGGGGTTTCTGAGGCGGACCCGCTGTCCGTAGATTTTCCTTCCGATGGTGAGGACATAATGGTGGAAGAGGGGAGTAGCTTTCCTACCGTGGAGGAGTTACTGCCGAGGCACCCCTCATCCCGGAGTGACTTCCTCAAAGATCCTTCTCCTACTCCTGCCCCAGTGATCTCTGAGATGGACCAAGCTCATATAGACGCTCTCCGTGCAAAATACAACATCCCCGCCCATGTAGATATGGTTCCGGCGGGAATGGACTTCGTGGAAGTCCACAGACCTGGGTACTACGCCTTTTACGAGTACCCTTTTGTGATTGGTTATTCTTTCCCTCTTCCTCAGCTAGCGGAGGAATTTTGTAGATTTTATCAAGTCTGCCCGGCACAACTTTCACCGTACATGCTTAAGGTACTTCTACTGCTGATGAAGTATGCGGAGTTGGTAGGGTGTGAGGTGACCATCCATCACCTCTTGCACATGTTCTTGCCCAGCTTTCATAGGGGCACGATGGTGCATTTGAGGCATCGCGGAATAAAAGGGTTAGTAGTTGGAACCGACGACCGGGCGAGTGGTAAGTTCTGGCACAAGTATTTTTTCGTCAGAACTGCCCACATCGTATCCGACCGTGCTAGGTTCCCGGAGCGGTGGAATGATAAACGTGAGTGTCGCCACTTCTTTCTTCTTTTTGTTCTTTCTTATCTTCTTCGTTCCTTATAGTTTGTCTGCTTCTTGCTTGTAGTTATGGGGCATCCACCCCGCCCTATTGCTGGCTTAAAGGATTGGGTGGCTCATCTATTGCCCCATGCAGTGGAGACTCGAGATTGGCCTTCCTTCGTGAGACGTTACGGCCCCAAGGTTTCGTCTGGTAAGCTTCTTCCTTCACGTTACATCGTTGGTCATATGTTGTTAACTACTAATACAATTCTTTACGATGGCAGGTCGAGGGGTATCCAGGCGCAGGGCCCCAGTCCCTGCATTCCGACAAGTCGTTGCTACTGCTGGAACGCAGTTTACCTTAGTTGAACCAGCTCACTCAACCGCTCCAAATAGAAGGTTCTTCTCGAGGTTTGGTCGTGAGGGAAGAGGCTTTTTCTGTATCGAGCCCTCATTCCTTGGATGAATCCTCTAATAGGGATGAGTCATTATTGTGGAAAAAAAGGAGAGTGGAGCTCGGGAAAGGGGTGGCAGTGGACACTAGTAGAAGCCGATTAGGTGCATCGCATACGGCACCCGTACCTACTTTCATGGCCGATGCTATCTTGGCGGGTAGGTCTCCCCAAACGGAAGGGGTTCTCCCAGGAGGTGGCTCGGTGCGTTCTACGGAGGGAGGTGTGTCCTCCAACGTTGGAGGGGGTCCACGTGTTGAGGGCGAAGGCTCAGGTTCGTACATAGACCCGGAGGACATTCCCGAATTTGCGGAATGCCACACTTATGTAGAGGTCAGGACGGAGGGTTCCGACCGACATATAGTTATCCCCGGGAATTACAACTTGCTGTCGAATTATGAGTAGGTAGATTCCTCCTTAACCCCTTTATGTGATGCCCCCGAAAATGAGGTGCTCAGAACGATTAGTGATGTTGCCTGCATGGCTTTGCGAGTAAAGTTTTCTTCTCTCTTGCTATTTGGTTTTTTGTCGGTTTTTCTTGCCTATATTTTTTTGTACTTCTTTCTTTATGGAAGACTCTCATCATGGAGGCCGAGCGTGAGTGCCGGGAAAGAAAAAGAACGGCCATCTACAGGAAGATGTCTTCCAAATATCAACAATATCGCACCAAGCACCATGCGATGGCCGATATCTATACTCAGGACCCGGACTTCCAACTGTTTCGTGAAGGGCTTAAGAAAAGGGAAGACCAACTAGCGCACAAGGTCGAAGAATTGAGGGAATGGGACGAGGACTTGGTGAGAGCCATCGCCCGTAGTAGTGAGCTCGAAGCATCTCTTAAGGCGAAGGAGGATGAGCTGGAGTTAAGTAGGGGCGTTGTGGCTGAGAATGCCGATCTGCATGCAAAGGTGGCCGGTTTGACTGCTGAATTGAGCGCGAAGATTGATGAGCTTAGGAGTGAGCTGAATGTGGGTGCTGACAGACTGGCGGCCACCATTTCTGAAGCGGCGGTTTTGGAGGATACCCTCCGTACCTGTAGGTCGGAGCGGGCCAAAGAAGAAGAGACTTCTGAACTCAAAGTGGCAGGTCTTGAGGGCTGTATTAAGGAGTTGGAGGCTGAGTTATCCATCTTGAGGACGGAGGATGCGAATCGACGCTATCAACCTTCTACTTCCCGTACTTCGGCCGAGCCTATCGTACCTCGTCGTGCATACAAGTTGTGGGTTTATGATGAGGCCCGACTCAACGTATATAAGGCTCTTTTTGTAGAAGGAAGGGCGTCTGAAATTGAACTTCAGGGTGTCCGTGCCGAAGCTCGTTCAGCTTGTGAGACATGTGGGTACGACCCCCGTACGCCTGATGGGGATGAAGTCATCTCTGATGATGCAAACCGCCTTACCTCCGACTCTTGGTATGAGGATGCTTACCCCACCGAGGGTGATGTGTAATTTTGTAATTATTTTTGTTTCAAGGTTTTTGTATGGGCGTGCTTGAGCCCGTTGTGAAGATAGACGTTACTGACTTTTGCTATAATGATGAAATTGTTTTGGTGGTGACCTTTATAGTATTTATGGTATCTCGAATACTTGTCGAATTTTTGGTGGTGAACTTTATAGCCATTGGGATGCCACTTTCGATCTGACGTCGAAGTAGGATCCCGTCGTAGTCTGAATGAGGCTGAACACATTCGTCGGTGGCCTTGGCCATTGGGATGTAGCTTCGAATTGTCGTCGAAGTGGGATCCCGTCGTGGTTCGAATGAAGTCGAACATATTTTCATCGATGGCCTTGACCATTGGGATGTTGCATCGAACTGTCGTCGAAGTAGGACCTCGTCGTGGTTTGAATGAAGTCGAACTCATTTTCGTCAATGGCCTTGGCCATTGGGATGTTGCTTCGAACTGTCGTCGAAGTGGGATCCCGTCGTGGTTCGGATGAAGTCGAACATATTTTCATCGATGGCCTTGGCCATCGGGATGTTGCTTCGAACTGTCGTCGAAGTAGGATCCCATCGTGGTTTGAATGAAGTCGAACTCGTTTTCGTCAATGGCCTTGGCCATTAGGATATTTATAGTGGCGGTTTGGTCATATTCCCGTTGGAAAATACCTGTCGACTTTGTTCATACAGGAGTTTTAATTATATTCTTGTAAGAATCACATGTCGACTTTGCATATACAATGGAGATTTGATTATATTCTTGTAAGAATCACATGTCGACTCTTCATATACAATGGAGATTTGATTATTTTCTTGTAAGAATCACATGTCGACTTTGCATATACAATGGAGATTTGATTATCTATATCCAGTCCCTTCATTACTTGGTCCGGAGAATACCTCGACGGGTAATGAACAATACTTCGAACCTCGAGATGTCTCCCTTGCCACCTCATTAAAAACCTCACCAGGAAAACCCGATCGGGACAAAACTCGGATGAGGGAAAAAGAGTACGACTCAAGTGACGCCTCCTTCCAAAAGTGGAAGTATTTGAGATGAGGGACGTTCCAATTGTTTTGGAGTAGTTTTCTCTCCATTGTCTCTAACTGGAATGCCCCTTTGTTTGC